AAGACTATAACTCATTTGTGTATATATGTGTTTACCTACTTTAACCTTGTAAATAACTCTCATTTCTTTTTCTTAATTAATAAATCTTTATTTAATTTATTATAGGATTGGATACAAGCATTGTCTTTGGTTGACCTAGGTTAAGTCCTTTGGGATTGAGAATTACCTGAATATTGTTGTAATTTTTGGTGTAACGGACCATCTATCATAAAGGCAAGCTTGTCTATGCGGTAAGATAGACTGGAGTACTCCAGGGGACTGTCTGTGACTTCGTGATTAGGCTGTTTTGATGCCTGAGGAATTTACACTTGATACTTGGTTGGTGAAATCTAAGTACAAAATTCACAACCAGTTTGGGATTTGTCCCTTGCTTCTGAACAGTCTGCCCTGAGTTTGGTACTCACACTCTTCAGCCACTCCAGACAGCTTAACAATGTCTTTTTTCTTTATATCAAAATTAATTACTTATATTAAAATTTATAATGGTGGTCACAGAGTAATCTGAACAAGAATTACTATTTTTATTTATATTGTAGTATTGTATTGCTAAAAACCAATCTTCTAGCACCTATATATGATCCCCCTACAGTCCTCAAGTAAGTCTGTTAAATGCAGGTTTGTCAAATATTTTCAAACTGTATGATTTCTGAAATATTTTAATGTTTAACTAGCCAGTGAAAAATAATTACATTTTACATATGATATATATAACTACAGTAGATATTTTTCAAGTTTGAAAAAAATAACGTTATGAGCCAAAATTTTAATATTCATACTACAGAGTATCAGATTTCATTGGTTGTTTCCATAAAGGAAGTGTTAATATACCATGGTTTGCAGAAGGATGTTTCTGGTGGTTAGAGCACATAAATAGAAGTCAGTTATAATTTATTTATTTGTATAATAATAGCACCTAGAGACCCTCACCAAGATCTCCTGCTTCCCTTGGGTTCTGTTCCTAATTTTGCCACTGACTCACTCAATGTAGATCTGAGAGAAGTTTGTACTCAGTGTGTTCAGATCAGATATCTTTGTGTTCAATTGTTATGTCCACTGTGTGAGTGTGGGCAACTCATTTACGCTACCGTTGATCACTTAGGGCCTAATCCTGTGAAATTCTGGGTGTTTTCAATTCCCATTGTAGTCATTGGGTGTTGTAGCAGGGATTCTGGTCTCACTGTGTCTGTTGACTAGTGTTAATATTTCTGTACAGTTCAACACCCTTACCTGAAGCCTAGCTATACTGGCAAATTCTCCTTGTGTAGACGCAGCTTATATCAATTCCCTGAGTAAACAGTGGCAAAAGCCAGTATAATTGCATCAACACAAGGCCTTTTTCTGGTATAGAAATGTTATTTAAAAAACCATGCCTTTATCAAATGTACTATAACATGGAACATTTCTAGTGCAGACCTGTCCTGCATCCTCATATCCCAGCTTTAGGAGGCACACATCTAATATTCTCCCCATTTTACAAATAAGGTAACTGAAAGGTCATTTCAGACAGAGCTGGGAATAGAAACCTGGTCTATAAGAAAAGTCTTATACACTCAGATGTACCGCCTTTCAAAATGAATGTGCCAAAACTGTGTCCTTAGCTATGCTGCCTACAATTACCGCCTTCATCGCTAGCCACACTCTCCTCCCAGAGCCAGGAGTAGAACCCAAGAATCCTGACACCAGCCATTCCACTTCTGTATCACAAATGGTTATGGCACTGGCAATGTGTGTCATGTTCCCTCTAGTGGTCTGGTCCATATAGATGATAATGGCCTACTATGGCTAATTATTTCCTCAGCCCAGATGGAGGAGGGCTGCATTGTAGTTCTGAAGGTACTGATTTAAACACTGCTGATGACCCATGTGGGTAAAAATAGAATGTGATTTTTTAATTAAAGACTGTATCATAATATATAGACACAAGGGGGCATGATTAATGTAGCGTGGGTAATCTTAATTCTGGAATTTCCTAACTTTTGAGTACTTGACTAAAACTTAATAATTTTTTTTTAATGTAGGATTTTTTATAATGTTGGCAAACTAACGATTTGGGCTGAAAATTTCCAAGCCTGGTGTCTGCCTTTGGCTGCATTATTTTGGAAAATTTCAGTCAAAACAGTTCAAGCATTTCTGAGAACAAGACTAGGGAAACATATGTTGTTTTGCCCATGTTAAATAATTCTGGTTCTACTGTCCCCATTCTGTGAAGCTGGGATTTGAAATTTGGCAGGAAGTGGCCTTTATGTCAGGGATGTGCCTTTTGCTGGCATTGTGAAAATCCACTCAAATACACCAAGACGTAAGCCTCTGAAAAAATACTGTTCACACATGTTTAGTAGACCCTTCTTTAATTTTAGCAGGTAAATTCCCTGAAGATTCTGTCCACACTACACATGCTCCAGTTGCAATTCTGGGCTGCTTTGGGCCATACCAGTGCTAGATCTGGGCATCTGAACTGAGAGGAGGGAGACTGTCTCTCCTGTGCTCTTAGAGTATGTCTATACAGCATCTAGACACCGGAGGCCAGCCCTGCCAGCTGACTCGGGCTTCTGGGACTTGGTTTGAGAAAGATCTGGGGGGTATAGTGGATCAGAAATTGAGTCAACAATGTGATGCAGTTGCAAAAAAGGCTAATACCATTCTGGGGATGTATTAATAGGAATGTCGCGTGTAAGACATGGGAGGAAATTGCCCCGCTCCACTCGGCACTGGTGAGGCTTCACCGGGAGTATTGTGTCTAATTTTGGGTGCTATGTTTTAGGAAAGATGGGGACAAATTGAAGAGAGCTTAGAGGAGAGCAACAAAAATGATAAAAGGTTTAGAAAACCTGACCTGTGAGGAAAGGTTAAGAAAACTGGGCATGTTGAGTCTTGAGAAAAGAAGACAGAGTGGGGACCTGATAAATCTTCAAATACGACAATGGCTGTTCTAAAGAGGATTGTGATTAATTCTTCTCCATGTCCTCTGAAGGTAGGACAAGAATGAATGGGCTTAATCTGCAAGAAGGGAGATTTAGGTTAGGTATTAGGAAAACCTTTCTAATCATACAGGTAGTTAAGCTCTGGAATAAGCTCTGGTTTCCAAGAGAGATTGTAGAATCCCCATCATTGGAGGTTTTTAAGAACAGGTTGGACAAACCCCTGTCAGGGATGGTCTAGGTTTACTTGATCCTGCCTCAGCAAAGGTGGCTGGACTTGATGAGTTCTTTAGGTCTGTTCCAGTCCTACGTTTCCATGATTCTTAGATTTGAAATAAAAACTATTTTCTTTTTTTTGGTGCTGCTTTTCTGTTGATTTTCCTACATTTCTATAAAGGAGAGTCTTCAAAAAAGTCAAGACGGTATAGAATAAAGGAAAAATTTATATATTTAAAAGCTTACAACTTAAATATAAGAAAAACATAGCTCAGAAAAACAGTGAATATGAATGTACATAAATCTCTGGAGTCTGACAACATCCACCAACCTCTGTCATTGCTATCCTGCTGTTGTGAGAACTGTAAATTTAAACAGGACAGTCACAGATGTCAGCCTTTGCCTTCTATTGAATTTTCTTCTTTCGTAAGACCAATTTTATAAATCACTTCCCTATGTATGTAAAAGTTATTCTGTTACCTCTCTTCTGAATGGCTATGACCTGTTTCACTAGTTCACTATCACCCACAAAGTAAGCCAGTAATTCACAAAATAGGCAGAAAAACTACAGCATAGTTTTAGATTGCACCTTGCTTTCCAAACATTAAGTAATAATATCAGAGCTAGCACATACATCCCATTTCAAAGAACTCTGAACCAGAGTTAAAGCGTTTTTATTTAACATAATTAGGAAAGAAAGAACAAATAGTGCCTGGTTTCTTAAACAAGAACTGTGTGACTGTGGACAAACCATGTAATCTCTCTACCTCAGTTTCCTCATCTGTAAAGTGGATTTATCAGTTCATTGTGGGCAGTAAGTATCATAGGCTGGAGAAGGCTGTGCCTCCCCAAACAGCCTGGCATGGCTCTGCCCACCCTCAGGCCCCCTCCTGCTTGCTCTCAGTTCCTTTCCAGCTCTTCCATGGCGGAGAAGCTGGAGAAGGCCCACCCGCCCGGCGCTGGGGATGTTCTGGCTACGCTGCCTGCCTGGTGCTCCAGGGCTGGGGTTGAGGGTGCTCTGGCTGTGCCGCCCACCCGGCGTGCTGGGGCTGGGGGCACACGGGGACCGGGGGATGCTCTGGGCTCTGGCAAGGGAGCGGGGGTGGAAGGGAAGGGGAAAGAGCAGGGCTTCGGGCAGGGGGGAAGAGGCCAGGGGCTAGCCTCCAATGACTCATTCACCTGCTGCCCATGCAGTGTGTACTACCTCGCATTAGTGTATAAATCTATAAGAACCGCAGATGGAATATGCCATAGAAATACAAAGTATTATTATTAAGATTTGGCAACAGAGTAAGTAGATAGACAAGTCTTTACCTTCTCATATTATGTTATAATCAGTGTGATAAGTATATCTGTCATCAATGATATATTGCTTATTGCCTTTAAACTCAGTAACAATACATAATTTGTTCGTGTAGAATGTTTGAGAGAATAAATATAGTAATATTTGTATTGTAATGAGATATCAATTACGGGGTTCAATCTTGCTGTTAATACTCAAGCAAAATTGCCATTTACTTTAAGGGATGATGGATTGGGCCCACAGTTACATAGTTAGATCAATTTCACAAACTTGGATTTTCACTTCAGAAATTTTTATGAGGAAAATCTAATCCAGTTTGCAAAAAAACCCAACCAATCAAACAATGTTTTGCAAAAATATCATTTGAAACATATCAATGTGGATTCCAGTTTGAAAAATGGTTGTAACAAGTATTGGATATGTGAGAGTAAATATTGCTTAGCAGAGAATAGGAGTGCATTTTGAAATATGCTATCTAAAGCAAATTTAATTACAATTGTTTTGTTCTCTCTTTCTTTTTCTCTCCCTCTCCCCCACTCTCTCCTGAAAATCTCCTGCCATAGCGACTGCATTTGCCTCCAGACTTGTCAGACACAGTGAGCCGCTCAAGCAAACAGGATCTGGCAGAATCCACCAAACTGCTGAGCTCAGGATGTGGTGCTATGGCCATAGGCAAGAAGCACCTGGACTTCTAGTGATTTCTACTTAGCAGTTTCACTCAGATTTATATGACACTCTAATTATGACTGTTAATGACTTATGAAAATATTTTTCTTAATGATTTGACCCAGCAGTCCTTAAAAATACACACTGTAAGATGGTGCCTTGTTTTCTCATCCTGATTTCTTGGAAGACATTTGTGGTTTGTTTGCTTTTTTACAGAACATGTTACCTTAAAAAAAATGCTGCATTGCACTGTTATTCTGGAAATGTACAAAATGTTCTTCTCATAAAAAATCAAAATTATTTTTATTTTTAAAGTTCAAGATGCTTTGCAAAACAATACCAACTGTGTTGTTTTTCACAAGCTAAATGTGTCTGTTTATCACGATTGTATTAAACACTGATTATAATGTAAAATATAAATTAGAGAGTCTTGTGAACATTAGTAAATGAAATTAAGGAATTCATAATCATATCTTATTTTAAAGCCAAATTTAGCAATTATTATTATTTGAAAAAATAATTGTGTACATCTGAAAATATCATTATTGTCAAAATCAAAAGTAGATATGACATTATTTTACAGAGTACCTAAACAATGCATTTAAAAATGCATTGCACTATTTCATATGTGTTCTACTGTGTCAAGAATTAAATTGATAAAGAAAGAATTTTTCCATAGTAAGAATATATTATAGATAATTAGTTTGCCTTATGGGTTAATAAATGTATTAAAATGCACTTGAGTGGAATTTACTAAACATTGAAAAAAGAATTGATTTCCTTGTGTAGTTCAAAACAGTAATCCTAAACAATTGAAGTCAGCACTATGAAATTATGTCAACAGACATAATTCAAGATTGAAATTCAAACTGACAGCTACATTAATGCTAGAAAACCAGAAGAGTGCATTGGAGCTTGGGGAAGAGTATCACAGAATGTTGGTCTAAAACAGAACAGAAAATAAAACTAATTCATGTTACCATACCATCATGTATACTCTTTGTGAACTTATGAATATTGTGTGTGCATGTGTGTATATATACCCAAATGGAAAACTATTAAATATATTTTTAAACGTCTCCTATATATTACTTTGTATTTGGCATACTAGGCAGTGCTGATCTGTAAATTAAATTGTTTTGTATTATTTCTTATGAAGCAGACTTCCATTTTGAAAGGGGGTATATTGTCCTCCATGGAACTTCCAGACCAGATTTTAGATTATTTTATGGTTTCAAAATTAAATCTTTATAATGGGATATAATATGGCTAGAGTGAAATTGATTTTCCAAATAACATTTTAATACAATATAGTAATGTTAATGTCTTTTGATGAGGTTCCAACTGAAAAGTTGATTAAACGGTTTGCTTTTTCTTATGCAATCCAGGTTTTACTTTATTTGTTCTTGACAACACTGTGTGTAAAACAAAGACATAGCTTTTAAAACTGTCTAACTAATATGATGAATGTCAATCACTTAAAAAACTCCACTGTAGCATAAACACATACTGTATACAGCTTTTATTCTGAATTAGAATAATTGAATCAATGACAGTGATTTGCCAGGATGTCAAATCTATCCATCATATCCTGTCACTACCAGTTTATTTTTTGTGATCAAAATCAAAAAGACTACTATTTTGTCATCAGCTATTTCATTTGTGGTAACAATCAGGATTTCTTTTCTCTTGCTTTTTTTTTTTAAGATAGGCCAATTTTATTTTTTTATTTCTAAAAACGCAAATCCTTTTTTAATCAAAGTTTCAGAATGGATCTGTCAGTTTCATAAAGCTAAAAGACACCTACATTTTTATACCAATATACTTAAATCACCATTGATTTCAAAAACATCATTTGTCCTTTTGCATTATATGTAACAGTGAGCAGAAATTCTCATCAAAAGCTTAATTGTACCTTTAGAAAGTATTAAGTAGTTTAAATATTTGAATTCAAATAATTTAAACAAAATTAACACTTTACATAAATAAGTAACAGGAAACATATGGTATAGCCATCTGAAATGTGAAGTCCTCAGGTATATAAATGGCTTGTGAATATACTTAATAGGTCATTGACTTAACACACAGGCAGAAAATGTCACTAAAATTCACAGCCAATTTCTAGTTAACATATGACTTAAAAATAGATGGTAAATACTGTATGTATATATATATATATATTTATTACATCAATTTCAAGTGCTAAAATAGATTAGCACAGAAACTAAAAAAGTATTTGGAATAATAAAAGTAAAAGGGAAATTCACCTGCAAATCTAGATTTAAATGGTTTTTCTTTTGTTTGTTTTTCTGATTCACTGAACATGCTGTGTGAAATAAGTTTTACAGTATACATATGTAAAGTGTTCACCTAAGGCAAAAACATGTAGCAAAATTTCTCCTCTCTTTTCTTCCAAAATATTGTATTGGTTACAACAATATATGGCAGTGACTTGGCTTGCCCAGTAAAACAGATGAGTAAAATAATGTTACTATTTGACAGTGTGTATGATATACCATTCCACTGGATCCACAAATAGACTTCTTATCTCTCATTTTTGGTTTGCAGTATTGGATAAAAATATTTAGCCATAACATTAAACTCTCCATACCCACTTTTATGTGTCTAGTATATGACCCTCCAAACCTTGTATACAAATATTCCACTAGATTGTGCCTCTCTTTATTTGCCAATAAATAGTTTTTACTACAGGAGGCGTATCGGGTTCTTGACTTGAAGGACTCTGTTTCTTCACAGACTGCCATACTCCATTGCTGACTCCACCATGCACACCTCCTCTCGATCCTTAGTGTTGATTTGGCTGGGATGTCTTTATGAGAATGAAAGTGATAGTTATTTTCCTTTCCTGAACAGCTGTTATGGATTGTAGAGTTTAGTGTTTTGGTTTTTAGGTTATTTTTAAGAAAAAGAAAAAGTTGAGCCACTTACTTCTCAGTGGGCTTCAAGCTGAAGCCACCATACTTCTTGCATTGAGGTTGATATTAGGTATATAACATGACCGTAGAGACAATATAATTTCTGCTGAATGCATTCCCCGTTCAAACTTACCACCAGATCTTTGCACAATTATGACAAACAGTGAAGAAAGCCGTAATGAAATTTAAAGCGTTGACTCTTTAATATGTCAAATAAGGATTCTTTATATAATTTACGTTGTGTTGAAGCTATCAAAATATAGGTATTTGGAATGTGAGGCGAATATGATGATAGATTAAACTATAGTTTTTTTTAAATGTACTTGTAAAGAAATTTGTAAAGCAACTTTGAAGCTGCAGCTTGATCCAATTTTCTGTAACAATAGCTATTATCACCAGAAAATGGACATTAAACTACTTCAGATTTGATACATGTGATAACACACAAACCAACAAGGTTCCACCTTAAAATTTAATTTAAAATAATGGTTATTCCAAACACAACTGTGGGAAAACTGCAAAGGTATAAATTATAAATATCCTAATCATTCCCGGATTGAAAACTGGTCTGTTACCATGGAGCAAAACCAGAGTAAGCCAACCCGGAGGCTTTGTATTGATTGAAGTTTCATAGGTTTAGTCTTAGACCAGAAGAGAGTAAGTCTGAGATTAATCAAACAAGCTGGTCGTGAATTTTGAGATTTCGGGAAACAAGGAGCTTTTCTTTTTTTTTAAAATTGTCCACTCACAATTGAAAAACAGAGTGGCCAAAAAGCTTCAAGCTTGTTTTAGTTATTTGACCTCAATGAAATTGAGCTCTCTGGCTTTGCTTTACATTTCTGTCGTTCTTGGCCCTGAACTTGCTTTGTCATATGCTAAAGCTGACCCTTATGCCCACTTGAATCAATGCACAGGTGTAATCCTAGCAGATCCTGCTCTTAGATCATGGCCCCTATTTTAATGGGCTACTTCTGCAATCCTTGCTCAAACAAGATATCCATTGAGAGCATTGATCCTGTGTCTCGCCCCACTTACACTGCTGTAACTCAGGGAGAATGGAGTTAGGCTGGTGTAAAACCAATATAAGAGAGAAAAAGCAGGCACACTGGGAGATTTGCTCAAGCCATGACTGCCAAATTAGGCCCCACATTATTTAAACGTTGTCAAATTAAATTCAGCCCAAAGTAAACCATTGACATGCTTTTCACAAACCTGAAACAGGACAATTTCCAAAATGTAAAACAAATTCTGAGAAAAGAGGGGTTTTAAAAACACACCGACATTCCTCTGTAGTGTTTGAAACACAAACGTTGCAGAATTAAAAATTCGAAGCAGATTTCACTGTTTTTAATTGTCCAAGCAGAGAGGGAAGCAAAAAGTAAACATTTAGCATAAAAGCTGACAAAGAGTGATTTTTAAACTGTTCACTTGTTATAAGCTAGATATTAATTGTAACATGCCCCAAGAGATTTGTTTGCAGTGTTTGGTTTCTGTGCTAACCAGATCCTCTAATTTTTCCACGTATTACTTCTGTGAGGTGTCGTTAAATCTGTTCACAGAACTTTTCAGCTTCAGCACAGGACAGGCAAGGGAGCCTGTAAGTTGCATGAGAGAAGTTGTTAGGAATCAAGGAATTTGCAAACACTGCTGGTGCAGCTGGCGGAGCTCACAGTCCCAAGGGAGGAAAAACAACAGTTCATAACCCTTACAATTTTTAACTGCTAGAATTTACGTGAAGCCTGTTGGGTGCCTGGAAGCAATTGCAACCTCTGCTGGGAGATTTAATGCAAGCTACAGTTCCTGCCAGGCACCTGAAAAAATGAACCTTTGCTGGGGCTCTCACAAAACCTCGGTTCAATACTTGACCCAGCCGCAGTGCAGCTTCTGAGGCCAGTGTCCAGTGAGTGGGGTGTTTGGGCTTCACACTAGGACCCAGGTACACTAGTCACAACTATGTGAACTGCCTTAGTGTGAGCCAGGTGCCTTTCCTGCTAACACTCAAGTGAGTAAGAAACTCGAAGCTAAACTCTAGCATCTTTCCTAGTAGGAACAAGATACCTACGCTTCTAAATGAAAAACAAACCCACAAAATTTAGGTCCCAATTTTGAAATGTGTGTGTGGGCCCAGGCACCTGTGTCAAGTCCTATTGAAATCAATGGAGGTCCGGACAGATGCAGGGGTCTACCCACATGAATCAGGCTAAATGAAGGCCTTAGGCTGTAAATTCTTCTGGCAAGGTCTGTTTCTCCATATATGTTTGAGCTGTGCCTAGTACAATGGGGGTCCAGTCCTGAGTGGGCCTCTGGGAATTTCTGCAATAGAAATAAACAAATAGACAACAAGAAAAAAAAAAAACCTTGAAAGTTCAAGGAAATAAAATTAAATTGGGAAAAAGTTCAGTTAAGCAATCAGGTTGGAGCAATTCTGCTGTGCTTTCCTACTCTACTACCTCATATTATTACCTCATTGCACACCTGCCCATGTGAGCCATGACCGCCACTTCTTTAAGAAGAATCCCCACCATAGAGGCATTATATTTGTGATTAAAAACCAAAGGTACTGATTTAGGAACAGGTTTGCAGGCTTCTGTTCGTTAACCAAGAAGGTCGCTTGTTGATGAGGAGTCCTTTAAAAGCACTCTGTCCACATCCTTTGGCCCAGCAATCTGAAACTCACAAGGTATGGAACATGCCTTCCTGCCAGGCCACTTTTCTGAAAAAAGGGCCATCACCAGGAGAAGTCTCAGACATGCCAATTGTCATGAAAACCTTTCTTTCCAGATTGCCTGGCTGAGCAAAATGCAGTTTTCCTTTTAAGAAAGGGACAAGTGAAAGGTGCTATGACCTTGTGGGCCTGAATTAGCACTAACACAGCTGGAGATGGAGCAGAAGTGCCTCTTTAGCTGCACTTGGAGCAGTACTTGACTCCTGTTGGTGTTAAGGGCAAGTGGAAGTGAACTGGCAAAATAAATAAGGCATTTTTAAGTGTCTCCATTGAATTTTATACTACCAACAAGGAAATGCAGAGAGAAGCTTAGCTTTAAAATAGAGCTAGGCTTGTGGCTGTTAGAGAAAATTAAATAGTACATTTTATTCAGTTGTAATACCATATGATAAATCAATCAGAATAAAATATCCCAAGAGCGCTGACTACCAGCAGGGAGCATAGATACAAGAGCTAACCGAGTTCTTTATCAGTCCTAGTCTGTTGTTTGCAGCAATACAATGCTGGCTCCTGAAAAATGTACTTCATATCACGCTGATTGGATTAAACCAATCTGACATCATCCAGCATTATTTTGTTTACCTTCTACCTGTAAATAAAGAAATTATAGTTAAAAAGTAATGGCGGAATTCCCTTCCCAACCTCCACCTCCACCATAGGTTTTACAATCTGGATTGCACCGTGACTCCTCCTGGCTCATTTAAATAGGTGCCATTTGACTCATGTGCCCCTTTTAGAGACAATTAAAAGCAGCATCTCAGCAGTGTGCTTCAGAAGTGATTCCCTTATGTATATAGGCTGTAAAGGGCACGGACCTGAAAGATATACTGTATATAGTAAAACTGTTTGGGTTATTATGCTTATCACTTGTAGCTGTCAGTATCGTAGCTAGAACAGAATATTTGCAATACAACATACAGTATTAATAAGCCAGTGTTCACATGCGGATTCCTGTTTGAGCCTGTAACTAAGAAATGGCATGGGAGCGTCCGGATGGGCTAATAAATGAAATGTAAGGTGGCCTTATGAAATACAGGGCGGGTTTTAAGCCAATGCACAGAAAAGGCATATTCCTATTGGAATCAATGGCTAAACTCCCAGTCATTTCAGTGGGAACTGGCTCAGGCTGACAGAAATATCTGAGTGACGCTGAGTGATGCTTTATAGTATATTTCAATCTTCTTGGATAATACATCTGTAGAAGGATAAAGTGAAATTTTGGATTCATTAAGGATAATGAAAATTGTCATTAGATGCTCTTCCGAGCACACTGAAGAGTTTAATTTATGCACTACTTGTCAGTTCCTTTTTTCTATTGGTTCCTGGTAAAGAAGCACATAATTCTCATGTTCTCTCTCTCTGTCTGTCACACACACTTTCTCTCTCGCTCTGAAATACTGGGAAAGCTTTCTGTGCCCAGTTAGATACTTGGGTTGCTTGGAGGTCTAGCCTGCCCTTGAGCAAGCAACCAGGAACTGGCATTAGAGCTCACACATTTTGAGAGGTTGTATTCACTCCCCCACCCACCCTAGGGAAGAGGGTCTTGACAGGACTCTCGCCACATGTCCTCCAGTGCATTCCACAGCGCCCCCTGGCACAGAGCCAAGCACTGCTCAGGGACCAACTGCCCTAACTTCTCCCTAATGTGCAGCAGCCAGGGACTTTCCCCAGTGGACCCCCCCCCCCACTCCACCCCCTGCACCATCTACAGGGACAGGAAAACTAGCCCGTGAGCCAGAAATGTTGCCTCCATGCTATAGTTAACCAAACTCTCACATGTAACTGTTGTAAACTGTCCTTCAGATTGAAAAGCGTGAATGCAAGTGTGTGTGTGTGAGAGAGAGAGTAAGAGCGATAGACTGTCCTGTCCTTCTAGAACACATTACAGTTCAGTTTCTACTTCCATGGTGACCCTACGTTAACAGAGACAGAAATAGTTGTACAGCATAGATCG